GACTCGACGGCACATAACAACAACAACAATGGCATGTACCCTGCCCCCCACAACTGCATCACTCTCTGACCAAGTTCTTCATGCTACAAAGTCATCCTTCATTCATTCTTTATCCAATACTTGTTTATTGTCTATTAATTGTCATGCATGCAGTTCCAGGAACTTGCTTATATCAGTGAACAAAACAGACAGAAACCCTAATGAAAGGAAGTCCCCTGTGTATTCAGAATCAAGCTGAGATTTAACACCAGATTCCAAACTCAGATAGAAAAGAGGGGCAACTAGGAGAGGGAAGTTAGAACTCAGTGTGGAAAAGTCTCTCCTCCCAATCTCTGCCTTGGAGCAGCTTTGCCAATTACCTCAGTGACTTTACTACCATAAGCTCACTCTCTAGCACATCAATTTAATTACACCAGAGAAGATGGTGTAGGGACTTGGGTGGCAAATTCCTATTTCCCTCAGCAGCCTTGAGAGTCCTCAGTGAATTTCTGTCCCTGGTACACACTTATTTTGATATTAAAATGCAATCTACTTTGGCTGTATTTTGGGAGGAAGTAGACTTGTTGCTGCCTAAGAGCCTTCCACATGTCAGAAGAGGTTCTTTAAACTCTTCAGTGCATATGCGTGAGTCAGGTAGCTCCAGTGAAAGGAGAGGCACTCTTGTGTCTGCTATCTGGGGTACATCTGGCCTTGAAGGGATGAGCATTGCAGAGACGATGGAGCTGGGAGCTGCACTAAACACACGTTACTTCAGTGCCTCCTGGCCACCTTTCTCTGGAACTTCAATTTTCAAGACAACTCAATAGCAGCGGGTTTGGTTTTTGGTGTTTTGGGAAGTACCTCATCTTCTTCCAACTGCACCAAGTGGTGGGAGCTCTGGTGGCATAGTGCCTAAGGCATTTGACTGCTAACCAGAAGGGTGGTGGTTCATACCCACCAGTCACTCCTCGGAAGGAAGACTGGGCAATCTACTTCTGTAGAGATATTGCCTCAGAGACCCAAGGAGGGGTCGCTATGAGTTAGAGTCGACTCGACGTGGTGCCTGGGCCCAGATGTTTTCAGCTGGACTGTCACCTCTGTATGGCAACTGGGATTATTTTAAGTGATTTTCCAGGAAATAAATAGTAAATAAAATGAAAAACCTTCCTTAGATTCCCATCCAATCTCAGAGATCCCTCCACAGCTGTTGTTTTTGTTTTATTTTACATTTTTTTCAATTTTAATTGTGATCTGGGTGAAAGTTTACAGAACAAATTCATTTTCCACACAGCAGTTCATACACATTTTATCTTATGACATTGACTGCAATTCCCCACAATGTAACAGCTCTCTTCCCACTTCCTCCCCATAGTTACCTCTTCCCTGTGTCCTTCCCTCTCATGCCCTCCTGCCCCCACCAAGCTATTCCCTGTGCAAACAGTGACCTTTTGTTCTCTCATCATTGATAGCTCCAAGTATATATCTACCTGATGTAAATGTTCACCCCATATGCCTGACTATTATTTGGCTGGAAGCCACAGGAGTGACTTCAGTTCCAGACCTGAAGGGTAGCTAGGGGCCATAGTCTCAGGGGTCTTACCAGGTTCTATCAGACCAGCAAAACTGGTCTTTTTTTTTTTTAATTTTTTTTATGATTTTGAGTTTTGTTCCACCTTGTTCTCCCACTCTATCCAGGATCTCCTGTACCAATCCCCCTCTGAGTGGTTGATAGTGGTAGTTGGGCATCATCTAGTTCTTCTGGTCTCATAGTCATACAGGCTGAGGATCACATGGTCTACCAGCCCCTTGGACTAATTGTTTCCATGCTTCTTTGGTTTTCTTCATTCTTCTTTGCTCTGGACAAGGAGAGACCCATCATTGCATCTAGATGGTCACTTGCAAGCTTTTAAGACTTCAGTCACTACTCACCAAAGTAGGATGTAGAACAATGTTTTTGTGTAGTATGTTACGTCAGTTGAGCTTGATGTCCCCTGTGGCCACGGTCCTGAGTCCACAGGTCCAACTACTCACCCCCTCAAGGTAGCTGACTATAGCCAAGAAGTCATCACAATTTTGCCCTTTGTCAGCTCTACTATAAACCCAGGCATTCTTATAGCTCATACAAAATACCCATGTAGAAACATTGTCTGCTAACCCTATACATGGTCATGGGCACACTGCCCCCTGCCTAGACATACCTGATTGATTTTTCAGTCTGCCCATCCATCTATCCACTTGTAAATCAAGGCTTGCCATCAATGACAATGGTACTATGCATGCAAAAGGGTTCTTCTTTGTTGTCTGTACCTCCCGTGTACCTCTCTACGTCTTCCTCTTCCTCAGTGCCACTGTGTTGATCACTCACTTTTGGTTCATTGCCTGGTGATCTGAATCATCCAGAAGGGCTCTTGGGGAGAGGGGAGTTTGGGGAAACAAATGGAGCCTCTCTCTGCATTTGTTGTTCTCAGTGCTGTTTTGACTGTTCTGTGTGCTTGTTCTTTGGGAGGCCTCACCCCATTTCACCTCTCAGGGCTGTTTGAGTCAATAGGGGGAGGAGACTTCTAAGTCTCAAAATACTCCTCTGTTATTTCCAAACTAAAGTACCTTCTTCTATAACCACTTGAAGAATTGCGGGGGGAGGGATCAAACCTGTGACACCATGTCCACCCTTCAGGTCCCACAGCTGCCCCCAAATAAGCATTCCATTTCCTCTGTTGTCAGAATAGGACTCTGATTGCCCTTTTCTACTTGGCAATGATGGGGTCAAGTATAACAAGGATTGTGAGGATGATGCACAACTGAGCAGTGTTTTGTTCTAATTTACATAGGGTTGCTATGAGTGGGAACTGACTCAATGGCACCTAAAAACAACACAACAACATAGAAACTAGATTTTCTGTAACTCTTCACTCCACATACAGGCAGTCCACACATCATGAATGTCTGACTTACAGACAGCTCCTACTTGCCCTTTAACATTATGAAAATTTGCCCTTACTTTGAAACCATTGAACCAATCCCGCTTGCAACAAATTCTTCATCACAATCATCTTCACTTGCTGCATGTCCAGCTTTTTAAATTGCTGAAAAATCTTCAAGACTTTTCTTGCACTAAAAGCTACCACCAACAACAGGTCGAATCCCAACTCATAGAGACCCTTTAGGACTGAGTAGAACTGTCCCATAGGGTTTCCAAGAGTATATATATATATATAATCTTTATGGAAGCAAACTGTCTCATCTTTCTCCTGCAGAGCGGCTGGTGGGTTCAAACCACCAACATTTTGGTTAGCAGCCAGATGTTTAACCACTATGGCACCAGAGCTTCCTTTTCTTGCACTAAAGTAAGACTAAATAGGAACTGTATGCACCTGTTTTGACTTACCTACACATTCGACTTAAAGACATACTTAGGAATGGATATCAGTCATGAGTGAGTACTGCCTGCATTTACTTTTCAGTCTCTTCCTTCTCTAAGAGAACAAATGTTAGTAATAGCTAATACCTACTGACAGATTATGTGTCAGAACAATTCTAAGTATTTTACATGAATTAACTTGTTTATCCTTGAAGCAACCCATGTAAATAAGGCCTTATTATTCCCACTTTTCAGATTAGGACACCCAGACATTTAGACAACAAGGAAGTGGCAGAGCTGGAATTCAAATCCAGGTAGTTTGACCACACAGCTGATGCTTTTATCCTAAGAATAGGGGCAATTCTTCCTCTTTCTCTCTGAACACCCTTCCAAATCCCAATGTCTAGGCTCCTGGGCAGCCAAGTGACAGGGAAATTGGGTAAGGGAGGTACCTGAATAGCCTGTGATGTCCATTGCCTTGAGGTTCCGACATTTGATCACTGTGAGAGTGAGCCTGCCTGCTGTGGGCAGGTAGCAGAGGGAGAACATGATCTCTCCCAAATCCACGCTTTCCTGTAAAGAAGCAGACAAGAGGGCAGATGAGAGGCACACAGGCCCTGGACCTCGATCCCTGAGCAGCTGCTGTGGGGCATTCCAGGGCCCAGGAGAAGGCTCTTTGAAGCACAGACCCAAAGGTTTGGCTTCTATGCTGGAAGAACTGGGTATAAAAGGCAATGTTATGGATTGAACTGTGTCCCCCTAGATATATGTGTTGTAAACATATATAACATGTGGCTGTAATCCCATTTGGGAATGTGTTTTGTTATGTTATGAGGCAAGACAAGTGTAGGGTATGTTTTGAGTCTATTTCTTACAAGAAATAAAAGGAGCAAGTAGATAGGGGATGATAGATGCCAAGTCACAGGGAGGTCTCCAAGGAAATAGTAAATAGATGCTGAAGAGATAAGGACCTCCCCCCAGAACAGAGAAAGAAAGCCTTCCCCTAGAGCTGACACTCTGAATTCAGACTTCTAGCTCCCTAAACTGTGATGGAATAAATCTACATTTGTTAAAGCTATTCATTTGTGGCATTTTTGTTATAGCAGCACTAGATAACTAAGACAAGCAATATTCCCTCTTTAGGAGAATTCGTCTCCATCAATGTTGTTATTAGTTGCCATAAAGTTGGCCCCAACTCATGGTGTGCGATGGAATGAAATGCTGGTCAGTCAGTCCTGCCTTGTCTCCAGATCAGTTGTGGACTGGACCATGGTGATCCATAGGGTTTTCCTTGCCTGGTTTTTGGAAGTAGATCACCAGGCCTTTCTCCCTAGTCTTTCTTAGTCTGGAAACTCTGTTCAGCATCATTGCAACATTCAAACCTTGACTGATGGATGAGTGGCAGCTAAACTTGAGGTGCATTTGCTGGGAATTTAACCTGGGTCTCCTGCATGGCATGTAAGAATGCTACTGTTGAACCACCACTGCCCTTGTCTCCAACAATATTTCCTCTCAATTTTGATTGGATTCTGGTCCTAATTCTCACAGTTCTGCTTTGGCCTATGTGCACCCCTTAGATGCAATCTGGAGACCACTAGCTGCTTTGTGGCCCATTCCTGTTCTCCTCCAGGTTACCATTCTCATCACTGAGTCCCTTGACTTTCCTGCCTAGTCCTGGCAGGTGGGTTATGACCAAGTCCTGTCCAAGACACATGTTCCAGCTACCAGATGTTCTCTCTCCCAGCAGATCTGCAATCCTTTTCTGCTTCAGGCCCTCACTTTGGTCATTTTTTTTTTTTGCCAATCCCTCTGCCTGGGCAGTTTCCTTATTCTACTGAAATAAGCCTAATGCTTCAACTTCCTGTCCTCAGAGTGAAAGTACAAGGAATATGTTACTCTGATCAGAATATTCTGCCAACCAAGGAGACATATAACCCGATCCCACACTTGAATCCACGTTGTCCTTGTCCTTATATGTGATCATTCTTCAAGAAATAAACCTAGTAAACCAAAAATATCCCTGGAAATCTTCTTAAAGCCAAACAATAGTTTAGCTTAACTAGGAGCTCTGGTAGCATAGTGCCTAAGGCACTTGACTGCTAACTAGAAGGCTGGCAGTTCAAACCCACCAGCCACTCCTCAGAAGGAAGGTCGAGCAATCTACTTTCATAGTGATACCGCCTCAGAAACCCAAGGAGAGGTCGCTATGGGTCAGATCTGACTCGATGGCAAACACAACAACAACAAGTAAAGAGTGTTTGTCCTAAGCATTGTACTCTTTTAAGAAGTATCTATATGGGCCATAACAAGAACAGATATATGCACGCCGATGTTCATCGCAGCACTATTTACAATAGCCAAAACTTGGAAACAACCTAGATGTCCAACAACTGAGGAATGGATAACCAAACTTTGGTACATTCACACAATGGAATACTATGCAATGCTAAAGAATAATGTAGAATCTGCAAAACACCGCATAACGTGGATGAACTTGGAGGACATTATGCTGAGCGAAATAAGTCAGTCACAAAAGGACAAATATTGTATTAGTCCGTTATTGTAAAAGTTAAGGAAATGTTTATATATTGGAGGACATTTTCTTTGTTGGTTACCAGGGGTGGGAGGGAAGGGGAGGGAATGCTGTTAGATAGATAGAGATAAATATTGATTTGGGTGAAGAGAAGGGCAATGTACCAAATGTGAGTGACCAATATGGCAGCATTGAGGATGAGAAAGACAGAGAGAGTTACATGGGCAGTACAAACAACAAATATGAACCCCTTTGTAAATACAATACTGAGTTGTCAATGAAAGCAAACATGGGTATAGGGACGGATAGATGGGTGAACAAGCTAAACAATTAGGTATGTCTAAATGGAGAGTGTATCCAAGATCATATACAGGGTTGGCAGACAATGGGCCTCTCGAAGAGTATGAAGGGATGGACACTGGGAGGAGGTAACTATGGGGAGGAAGTGGGAGGGGAGCTGCTGCATTGTAAATTTTGGTCAATGACATGAGACAAAGTATATGTGAACTGCTGTATGAAAAGTGAATTTACTCTGTAAATCTTCACCCAAATCCTAAAAAAAAAAAAAAAAAAAAAAAGTATCTATATGGGATAAAATTGACAATAGCAACATGAAAAATTAGGGAAAATTAGGGGGCAGTGAGTTTTTGTAAATGGGGGTGGAACAATTTAGAAAAGGAGGGTGAGAATGGCTACAAACTTGAAGAATGTAATCAATGTCACTGAACCATACACGTAGAAACTGTTGAATGGATGTGTGTTCTGCTTTGTATATTCTCAACAACAACAACAACAAAAATAAACAAACCTGACACAGCACACACTTTACCGCCTCTCTTGCCCCAGAATCATTATGGGACTCCAAATCCCAGTAAGTTTCTGAGCAACAGGGGAAAATCTCAAAGATAGTAAGGATCTTGGTCTGCTATGTTAAATAGCATGTTGCCAGATTACTTTCTCTACCAGTTTCCTGCCCTTCACTTGATAAAGGAGGGTGCTGTCTCTGTGAATCTCCCCTCTCCTCCACCCCCTACACCATAGGTTTTGAGGCTGGCCTGGGGCTCCAAGATAGAGGCATGTTTCCTCTCTTAGGGCTCCCAGACCCAGGCTTGAGGAGAAAGAGGTCAGTGTTCAGAGACACTGATTTCAGATTGGGCCATCCTTTCATTCATTCCTTCATTATTCAATAAATCACCCAACACATATTTATAGAGCACCTGTTATGTGTTAGATGGTGATGTAGGTGTTGGGGAGAGAATAAAAGCAGGCAAAATCTCAGCCCCCATGGAGTTTACATTTTAAGAGCAATGGACTATAAAAAGATAAATGAATGAAACACTAACATTACTATCTAAATAGTAAAAAGTACCAAGCAGACAAAAAACAAGACAGGAAATGGAGATATGAAATGTCCATGAGGGAGGCTATAGGTATTGACATTTTAGACAGGTGGGCCAGGGAAGGTCTCCCTGAGAAGAAGGTGACTTCTGAGAAAAAGAGGAGTCAAGAGTGACACCAAGGTTTTTTTTTTTTTTTTTTTTTTTTTTAACCGTTCTCCTCAAAAAGAACCATCTTCTACTGAAGACTCCTAGAGACACTTGATGCTTGGTCCCTCTGGGAGAATAAACCCCACCACCAGCACCACACACACACACACACACACACACACACAATTTTAGAGCATGTGCTCCCAATGATCTCCTCTGTTGTTGTTGTTGTTGTTAGGTGCCATCAGCTCCTACTCACAGCAACCCTATGTACAACAGGATGAAACACTGCCTGGTCCTGTATCAGACTCACAATCCTTGCTATACCTGGGCCTATGGTTGCAGCCACTGTGTCAATCCATCTCATTGAGGGCCTTCCCCTTTTTTGCTGACCCTCTACTTTACCAAGCATGCTATCCTTCCCCAGAGAATGGTCCCTTCTGATAACATGACCAAAGTGAGACAAAGCCTGGCCATTCTCGCTTCCAAGGAACATTCCAGCTGCACTTCTTCCAGGACAGATTTGTTTGTTCTTTTGGCAGTCCATGGTACTTTCAATATTCTTTGCCAACACCACAATTCAAAAGCATCGACTCTTCTTCGGTCTTCCTTGTCCACTGTCCAGCTCTCACATGCCTATGAGGCAATTGAAAATACCATGGCTTGGGTTAGGTAGGCGCACCTTAGTCTTCAAGGAGACATCTTTGCTCTTCAGCACTTTTTAAAGAGGTCTTTTGCAGCAGATTTGCCCAGTGCAATACGTCATCAGATGTCTTCATTACTGCTTCCATTGAAGTTGATGTCCTCTAGGTGGTGCTAATACCCACCCTTTCCTTAGCCTTAGATTTGTCTCTTTTTTTTCCTCCTTGCCCCATCCCCCATCAAACCCCAGGGGCAACAAAAGGTAGAACTCCCTAGCTTCCCATGAGGGCGTCTGGCTGTAGCCAGAGTTTGACCCTCTGCAGAGATAGCCACCCCCTCCAGCAACTAGAACTCTGTGGCCACCACAGAACCAATGAGCCAAGATCAATGTCTGTGGAGCTCCTATGTGCTGCAAAGCTCTTCCATGGACAGCATGCACCTTTGATGCTCACAGCAACTCTGCAGGCCAAGGAAGACCATCACTGCATTTCACAGATGAAGAACTCGAGATTCAAGTTTAAAAGCTCTACCAGGTTGACAGCTGGCAGGAGACACAGCTGGAATCTCAACTCTTGGGGAGTGCTCCTTGTCCTCCATCTGTGAGCAGCAGCCCTTCCCAGCTCACCTACAAGGATGCAAGGTAACGCATCCTCTGTGCCTGAGACCATAACTTGATCCATTTGTTTATTTGTTCATGCTAGGGCTTCAAATTGGTTCATTCTGGTTCGACCCCCTGCTGAGAATTTGCATTTCCCCTCCCAAGTTTCTACATTTTAACAAGATCTCCAGGTGATTTTTATAGATCCCCATTATTGTTATGTATAAATAATTATCACCTGGAGATCTTATTAAAATGTAAATTCTGATTTAGTATATCTGGGTTGGAAAGGCAAATTCTTAGCAGGGGGTCA